TGCAGGGAAGCCAGGCAGTTTGCTAGGGCTTTTTACAAGTATTTTCATTTGAAGTTCTTGTTTTAAAGCTTTTTTTGCTGACTGTGAAAGATGAGGGTGTTTTGCAAAAGGTGAATCCACAGATTTATTTTAGAAAGTGACAGATTATAAGATATGCAAATTAGCTGTAGATCTACTTAAAAATGCACTTTGTCATTATTCAGGAGAGGTTTTTGGCAGGAGTTTCTTAGTAGAAATGCAAACCCATGTGACAATATTCCATGCTGCTACTACTGGTCCCTAATTTTCACCATTTTTTTTATACAAAATGCAAGGGGTTTTTTTTCTGCTCCTGAAATTTATGCTTCATCTTCACTTAAGCAGCTGAATTGTGAACACATGGCATGAATCATTTTTTTGAGTACCTTTGTAAGTGCCATCACTTCAAAGCATGTTCTGCATCAGACCTCAGTCTAATGAAGAGTCTGGTCTGTCACTAACAAAATCGTTATCCCTACATCACCGATGATCTTAGTACCTGCATTCAGCATTGATCCAACTTCCCCAGTTGCCTCGGCATTCATCATGATCCTCATATGGGTGGGCAGTGAGTGGTGCCCCTCAGAGTGCAGGTTCAGCTGGTTTTGGGAGGCATTTCCATTTGCTTCTGAGACTGCACTGCTGGTAGCTTTGAGTTACAGGCAATTAACTGTGAAACAGCAGCGACTTCTGGACAGGTATATACAGCTGAAGGTAACTTTAGGCTCTGTATCTGCCTTAGAGATTGGCAATACTTCTTTTCCATTTGTTCCATTACTCTGTCTAATAAAGTGGAAGCAGTTAAAATGCTCTCCCAGAGTAATCTCCTGAAAGCCAGGGCAGTTGATTTTAAACATATTTAAGTTTACTTACAGAATTCACTAATAAAGTTTTTTTTATTTCACTTGTTTATTTACACTAAGTTGCAAATTTACTATTAAAACTCAAGTAAATCTCATTAGTGAGAGAAGTTATTTAATCTGAAGATATGGATTTCATGTCTTCATAATCTAATCTGGCTAAACACTGTTTTTTAGGGAAGATGGTGAGACATCTAGCCTCTGGAATCTAAAACCTTGTAATAGTCAAGAAAAAAGCTTTGGACAAGGTATATGAATAGCTACTTTGCACACAACGTTAGATAACAAGAAAATAAAATCTATATGCTCCAGGAAGTGGTGGCTGATTTTACTGAGCTCGGACAAACTGTTTTGTGCAAAGGTTTTCTTTGAGGGAGACAAGTGGAAGGCAGTGGGCTCTTGGGTTACAGAAATGAGTATTTCTGTTTAGCTGGAACCTGCTACATGTGCTAGGAAACCACGGATACTGCAGCATCCTGACTGTGTAGAAGTAGTTGGACTGAAGTGATAAGACTAACATGGATCTCTTTCTAGCAGCCAAACCCCGTGGAGCAGCGTTACATGGAGCTCCTTGCGTTACGAGACGATTATATCAGGAGACTTGAAGAGCTACAGATCACAAATAATTCTAAGATACCCAATTCATCAGCCTCATCAACATCTCCCTCACAAATGATGTCCCAAGTACAAACACATTTCTGAAGAAAGTGTTGGCTTCTTTCTATACTGTAATAGCAAGTGGTGCTTCACATAGATCTATAGCAAAAGGAGGAATATTCTAATGCCTTACGTTAGACTGTCCTAACACAAAGTATTTTAGACTGTCTTTATTTGAGGAGGACTTCAGAACAAACAAAACCAACTCTTTGATTACGTGCCTTTCAGAACCTGTGGACTGGGAACATTATTAATCAACTCATAGTTATGGAGGGCTTTTTAAGAGTTACTTTGGAAAGTCTGGTACAATGGAAATTAAATTGATTTATTGTTTTCATAAGAATGCTTTAATTTATTACATTGTAGGTCATGTTCCTATAAGGAAATTCATGCTCAGTCTTGAATACATGTCGTGAATAAACATATTAATGGCAATAGGAATATTCACATTGTGTAAAATTAGGTATGTGTGTATTCCTGTTAGGAATACATATGAATTCACGAGGTGAAAAATAACTTCTATTATAAGATTTCAGAGAGAAGTGCTGAAACTTTCTGGTTATCATAGAATTCCAAATTTTCCTTTTTTGAAATAGAAATATGGAAGGCATTTCACTGCTATGCTTCTGATTAAAAAGTTCAAATAGCTCAGTAGATATCAAAATAAAAAAAAAACCTTTCTAATTGTAAATTGATTTTATTTAAAAAAAGAAAAACAAATGCCAGTTGTACTGGATTCAGAGAAGTCCTGTTTTGGCTAATTGTTCAGATCTAAAGTATATTGCAAATCATCACTGTGGGCAATATTGGTTCTTTGGATTAATCCAGAATAAAATGTTTCTAAAGACGGTTTATATAATTAAAAACAGACCCACAGAGACATTACTTAAATATCCACCAATAGCCATAGTATTAAAGCTTCTGTTCGTCTTGTTAAAGTAAATGTGCCTGTTTAAAGGAGCTTTTATACCAAAGTAGGGAAAAATTCTCAGTTATAAATAATTTTGAAAACTTGTACATTTATAGTTTACTGTTTAAATTAACTTCTGTGCAGCAAATTTTATTCTTAAGTATTTAAGGGGCTTTGGTATCCAAGATTTGCATATAGTGAGTGCACTTACGTTGAACCTTCCTGTGAGCTCTAGTTTCAAGCCTTCCTTTCACAGGCTTTTTTTAAACCTTTAATTTGTTCATTTCAGGTATTTTTTAAATAGCTGCAAGCATTTCTTATGACAGTACAAACTTTGCTCTTGATATTTAATTAAAATTTTGCATATTCTCATAAGTTTAATGATGTTCAGGCAATCCAGGAAATACTGCAGTTCAGAATCTGCAGAGGACTCTAATATTGTTATTTTTAAGGAGATATTTTGATGCTTGAGGCTTCTGTCAGTGTAAATTATTGTACATGTGGTGAGTTTTGATCTGCAAGATATAATAGGATTATATATAAATTAAGTTTTGTGTAAGTATATATAATATAGTTTATTAGAAGTTCTGCAGGTTTATAAAGTGTAAATATTTTGCATATGAAAACTAAATTTAAAGCTATAGTTCCATAAAATAAGTCAAAGTTTAGAGGACAGTGAATATTTTTAAAACAGTATTTTTTCAAAGGAATAAAAGTATACCGCCTCTTGATTTAATTCATTATATGCACTGAGTTGCACTATGTTTTTCAGGGAAGTTCAGAGCGTACAACATGTATGTTCTAAATACACAGGATTATACGACTTATTTTGTCCTCTAAATTTCACTCTCCCGTCTGTGTTCTCCAGTATGTGTATCCAAAATAGCAATGTTGTCCCAAAATCTTGACTTGTTAAGGTAAAAAGATGAATTACGTCAGGTAAATGAGGAAGGATACTCAATTGTTCATGATGTACTTTACATTTTAAAAGCTATGCATACTCTGGTATATTTGCCTTCTACTTACTCATGGTTTATTAAAAAAAAAGCTATTTTTATTAGAATATTTAAAGTTTCTGTATTTGAGTTGAACATATTGGTGACATCTCTGAGTGGTGTGAAGAATTTCTGAAAATGTAATAGTTTTTACTGTTTAAACACTACATGGTAACCTATTGCATTTGGGAAAGTGTAATATAATGGAAAAGATCTTTTTGCACTTACTTCATTACATATATACCATTTTTCATATTACTGTTCAGCTGAATTTATCTTTGAAGCTCTCTAACAAGGCTCTGTGTGGGCTTGGATTTTTCTCAAGTCAGCAGATAAGATACTTGTTTTAATTCTGTTTTTACATATTAGACCAATATAAGGGTGGTTTTAATCCAATTCATATTGGAAGATACTACTTGTGAATGTAGGCAGACAAAGTGGTCAATGTTAATACCTCTCTCCTCTCCCTGTAACGGGGTGATCTGGGCTGTTGTTCTGCACACAGGCTGTGTCTGTACAGCACCTCCTGCTCTGTGCATGCTGCAGGAACAGCTCCCTGCCAGGAACACATCTGGGGAAGCTGCTGAGGTGGTGAAGGAGAGGTGAAGGTGCCGAGTGCCTTTTCCAGGAGGGGTGAAAAAGCAGAGCTGGGATGTCCACATCACCAGCAATGAATGCCCAGTATCCCATAAGAAATGCCCGTCTTGGAATGCTAGTTTAGGGGTTTTTTTATGTGTTCTTACTTCCATGAACCTGAGGAAATAACCTAGTTTTTTTTGCTGGGCTTCAGTTACTTAATTAGAAAGGTGGTTTGTCGAATGCCTTGTTTATTTGCTCATGCCTTACCCCCCCCCAGCATCACTGTTATGGCTGTACCCAAGACATGACTTGTGTGCTACCTCCTGATGTATTGTTAACCTCTGCCTTGAGTTCAGGTGTTGTCTCGCAGCAAGCATCCTGTCGTGCATGAGAAAACGTGTTTTATAACCGAGCAGGATCTCCTCAGTACTACTATTTCCTCAGTAACCGTGCCGCCCGCCCTCCCTGGATACCGCGGGACCGCTCCGGAGCCGGGCCTTGCGTGTCGGGCGGCGTTGGGGCGGGGGGAGAGGAGTGAACATCCTCTGTCTGCCGTGTACGTGCGGGGCGGGGAAAATAAAGATGTCAGTGTTGAACCCTCTGTCCCGACAGCCCTTTCACTGGGCGCGCCGTCCGTGAGCTCGGGTGTTCCGTCGCGGGGGGCCGGAGGGGGCGGCGGGCCCAGGTGTCCATCCCATCCCATCCATCCCACTCTCCCGTCCCGGCCTCCCTCCCGCCCGGCCCCGGCCCCGCCGCCCCCCTCGCGGCGCGGGGCCCTCTGGGAAAAGACGGCTCCGCAGTGACAGCGGCTCGGCGCCGCCGGGGGCCCCACCGGGCCGGGGCTGCAGGCGGCGGGGCCGGGCCGGGCCCGGCAGGGCTGGAGCCCGCCCGCATCCGGGGCCATGGAGCGGGGCGGTGTCGGCGGGCCGGGCCGGCGGTGGAGGGCGCGCGGCGGGCCAGCCGGCGATGCCGTGCGGCGGGGGGCGCGGCGGCGGCGGGGCGCGGGTCGCGGGCAGCCCAGCACCGAGACCCTGGACAGGTGAGCGGGCCGACCGGCGGGCGGCGGGACAGGGGGCGGCGGGGCCTGCGCTCCCCGTGGCGCCGGCGGGAGGCGGCGGGAAGCCCTCGCGGCCGAGGCCTCGGCCGAGCCGCGGCCCCCCGGCCTCGGGGGCGGGCCTCGGCGGAGCTGCAATCTGGGGCGGCTTTGCTACCCACGGTCCGCGGCGGGAACCGGCTGTTGTCAAGTTTCCTCTTGCGGTTGCCTGTGCCCGGCAGTGCCGCCTCCGCGCGGGGAGGGCTCGGGCGGCCGCGCGCGCTCGCCCGGCGGGGGCAGGCGTCCGTGCAGCCAGCGGGGAGGAGCGACACCGGCGGCGGCTCGGAGCCTGTTCCCGAGGGTGCTGTGCATGTGCTCGGTCTGCAGAGGTGTGACTGTCCCCGGCACCGCTGTGTGCGACCCCGCTGTGCGCTGTGTGTCGGTGTGCTGCGAACCAACCCTCCCTCCCCAGCCCCCCCGGGTTTTTATGTCCAATGTTCCCGGTTGTGCTGTGCGTGTGTCCCGGTGCTGTCCGTGTGTCCGCAGGTGTGTGCCGTGTGTCCCCCTGGCTGTGTGCCTGCAGGTATGTGCGGTGTGTACCCTGTCCGTGTGTCCACAGGTGTGTGCCGTGTGTCCCGCTGTCCGTGTGTCCGTAGGTGTGTGCGATGTGTCCCGCTGTCCGTGTGTCCGTAGGTGTGTGCGGTGTGTCCCCGGTGCCCTGCTGCCCGCGGGATCTCACCGGGACGGTGCCAGGAGCTGGGCGCCAGATGGGACCGCGTCTCCTCCAGCAGCTGCTGGCAGTCATTCCTTCATTTAGAAGTTTCCAGCTGAAGGCAGCCTTAAGTGCTGAGCCTAAAATCCTTAAACAAGGAGTTGAAACTAACAGAAACCTCACCGCGATGAAAAATAAATAAGCAAACTTTATTTAGAAATCAGCGCCAGGTTCCAGTCTCTGTATTCTCTTATGTCTCTGTTAGGAGAAACCTGGAGTTTTACATTGTTCATCTAGTGAAGGTGGAAATCAAATGTCTATTTTCTATCACCAAAACATGCACTTTTGTATTCCTTATTAGTGTACTTTCTTATCTTAACTGTCAGCTTTCTTTTCCTAATCCTGTTCTACCCTGGGGAAGTTATAATGTCCATTGGTCATATGGCTTATTTATTTGCCAGTGTGTCAGTAACAGGCCACGCTAATGTGAGTGACTGCAGATGAGACAGAATAGAAAGGCAGTCCTGGTGTGTGCCCCACTTGGCCGATGGTGGGAAGGCAGCGGTGTGATCTCTGGCACACTGACACTTCCTGACACTGGTCCTAGGGGATGGTCCTGCATGCACATTCGTTTTCCTGCTACTATTTTAACTCTGTTGATGTAGTGATCCCTGGTGAAGATAAGCCATAGAGAAATTAATCCTTTTCTTAATTAATAAGTAAATGCTTATTTGAAAACAAACATAGGCAAGCCCTAAAGAGATGTGAGAGAAAGAGAAATAAATGAGATCAGAAAAGGATTACTGTAGGATTTAGCCCTTGCACTCTTAATTGAAAAACTTAAGTGAAAAGTTTCTCTAAGTGAATCTGGGCTCCAGTTCAGCACTAACCTGAGAGTTATCTTCGTTGTTCAAAGCAGGACTGTCATAGATCTGTTTTAGTTGCAAAACAACATTGTGAGATCTAGTGCTGTATAGAATGTGCAGGTGGGAAGAAAGCTACTAAAATTTACCAGGAAAGTTTTGGAAGAGCTTTCATTTCAGGTGTGAAGTTGTTGTCACCTGGCAGAGTCAATGCAAGGAAAGACCTCTAGTTAAGTAATAATTGGTCATCTAAGGCTGTTACCCCACCCTCTTAATGTCAGCACCTGTTGGGTGCTGGGTGTGTATGTATATTCACTTCAGTGTCACGAGATACTTACAGAATCCAAAGCTATTTTATGGATGAATTAAAAAAAAGATAATTAACATTCCCTTGCTGTATTTGGCTTCTGAATAAGCATTCAATCTGTAGAAGAGCCCAGCTAAATGGTTTGAAGAAAAATGGCAGTTATCTAAGGTGTCAACTGAGGCTTCAGTGGCACTCAGGGAACAGTTCCCTCTGCCATTGCCAGTTTTTCATCAGATATTGTCATGTTTGAACAGACCCAGTGCACTTCAAACTGTCATTGCTTCTCACTCTCAGTTCTGCTTTACTTGAGAGCAGCACTGGTTCAGGTGACTGTTCTCAAATTGCACCGTCTGGGATTTAGTGCAGTTATGCTGTTCAGATGCTTTAGGGTTCTTACAAACACCCTACACTGCAGAATTCCTTGTTGTGACGTGGAAAGGCCTGCCCTGAAGATTATTCAGAGATTATTTTATGAATTGGAAAAAAACACAGCTAACTAGAAGTTACCCTTTAGAAAACATATATTTTCAACATTTAACATTAATATAGAATACAACACTAGCATAGTTTAAATTCTTTAATACTAGCATAGAGTAATTTAATTCTGAGGATTTGCAGAATAATCAGGAAATATTAATAAGGACAGGAAATATTAATAAGGAGTTTCCTGTTACTTGACCAAACTCATTCTATGAATGGCTTTAAGAAAAAAGTTTGTGAATGGTGAAAAAAATTACACTGGATACGGAACATAATATTTTTATAAGTTCATAGGATCCTAACCTCATTTTTAACCTACTGACAGCTCTGCATCTCTGATTCGATATAATAAAAATCTTCTTCCTAATTTGATCAGCAAAATAGTTGCATTCTGCCCACAGAGCAAGCTAATTTTTATGATGTTAGTGATCACTTACAGTGTTGCTTTCTGGATGTGCTCAGTTGCTATGCTGTTTTCAATATACATTTTTAATTACTGCTAAATAATTTAAAATTTCTGGTTTTGTAGCCCGACTGGATCCCACGTGGAATGGTGTAAACAGCTGATAGCTGCGACCATTTCGAGTCAGATTTCAGGGTCTGTCCCATCAGAAGGTGTGTCCAGAGACTACAGGGTAAGTGGCTTGAGGAATACATTGATTTGTTTAAGATAAAAAAGTGAATGATCAGGAAAGCCCTTGCTGTCTTGATTAGCAGGTGGTAAGTACCTGAGTGATCACTGAATGTTTCAGAACTAGAAACATCTCATTATGCGTAGGAGTCCTTTGAATCTGCTTTGTGTTTTCCTCCACATTTGGAATAGTGGCATTGAAGTCTATAATAGTTAACAGAGAGGTGAAAAGAAAATTAAACAGTCAGTGTTTTGCCTAATATGCCAAAAGTGAGTTTTCTTTTGATTACTATATAATAAAATTGGTAGAGTAGATTAACAGTTACAGGTTGAAATGGTTTCTAGTATGTGTCATTCTGAGTACAGAATTGAGCTCTCCAGATTTCACAAAAAATAAATGCATGTCTTTGCTGCTGTGCAGAGAACATAAATGACTATCATTTTTCATGGGGTTTCACCAGAGACAGAGAATTTAACATCAAACAAACAAACAAGTCACCTTTTTCATTCCCTCCCAGCAACTTTGTTGTCACTGAAGTAATGACTGCAGTGTGGTTTACCTGACAGTTCCATTATGCTTTTGTGCCCCTGTTCTTTCACGCTCACTGGCCATTCTCCCCATGCAGCCAGTCAACTGAACTGTCAGCAGTGGAGCAGGGGCAGTTTTTCTTCTCTCTGCAGGTGTCTCTGGTGTTTCAATTCTCTTTAAGAAGCCCAAGCTGCTGCTTTCTAGATCCCTTTTCCTTCATAGATTTGAAACAGTTTTATGGTCTTCTTGCAGAATGACCAGAGGAAGATTTTATCTTTTTTTACGTTTAGGTTTTTTTGGTTTAGCTGGATTTTAATTCTGATATGCTCTGTGATTACAAAGTTTGTTATCTGGAAACAGCATATTTTGGATTCAGTGACAGCAGGTGAGATTCAGCCCAAGCCTGAAGATAAGTCCACAAAATGTCTTGGACTATAGCCTGCTTCAAAGTTTACCTCACAGAGTTTCAGACTCTTGGCACAGTCAGCAGCTTATGGAGCACAGCTCCTGCATGCTATGACTGATGAATTGCAAATGCTTGCTCCAGGTCAAGGCTAACATCTTTGATAAAACACCCTGGGAAACTTTGCATTGCAGCTGTTGATGTTGTATTTGCCCTGTGGATTAAGGACTTCATTTTAATAAAATCCAAGTGTGTAAGCTTGGTGTTCAGTTTATCTCTGAGTTAGAATGCATTCCTCTCGAATAAAGAGCACTTTTTAATTCTCAGTAACCTCCTTCTCTGTACCAAACTCATCTTGGATATTTTTTAACAGGAGTAAATCTTTTAAGGCCTAATTAAAATTCTACTTCATTCTCTGTTTCCTAGGAATGAAAGAAAAGAATATAAACCTGATGGTTTAAATTCAGATTTTTTTTGTGGATAAATTGTATTTGGCATCATTGCATTCCTGTGGTTTGAAATCCCATATTTGTATATAACTTCATTGAATTCTTTATCCTGGAATGTCTTTAGTTATGTTCAGGACCAGTATCTTGTGAAGCAGTGTCTGTGCTTTAGGAGAGGGTTTCTTTAGCACTTAGCTTCTGCAGAAGTTCAGTGGTACCAATAGTTGCTTAGTCAGTACCAGTAACAGGTTGGGTTTATTCCTTATTACTGTGGAATTCACATATAAAAAGTCAATGCCCATATATAACTCAGATTTCCTTTGAGATGTATTTTCCTTTTGATGCACACTAGTCACCTTCCTTGGTCTTCATTACCTTTGGTTACCTTGAATTGCTGCATTTAGAGACTGTTTTACAACTCAGAACCTTCAGTTTGGGCCAGATTTGAGTGTTTGCTTCTGGAACTGGTCAGGAAGTTCTTTTGCTTTCTGCTTTCATGGAGTATAACCACTGTACCTTTCCACAAGGTACAGTGGTTATACTTCATGGCTGTTAATGCAGGCTTATTGTCTTCTACCTAGAAGGATTACCAGGCTCTTTCTGCTCCTCTCACAATAGTACATTGTAGCTGCATAAAAGGGTGATTAGGAATGAATGTTTCCAAAGAGCTTGGCATTTGTTGCATCACTGAAATGAAGTGTCTGAGATTTTTTTTTTTAGACCAAAACAATCCTGCAAATGAGAGTTACTGGTTCTGCATCGTTTTGTTCTTTCAAAATCTGTCTATAATGTTTGAGAGTAGAGTTCTCTTGAAAATCTGATGAAATAAGATATTTAGCAAATCAGATCTGTGTGTTTCACTGGATAACATTTTATATTTTAACTAACAGGTGTACAGGAGGCCGGTTATACGGGTAAGATTACCTTCGGCGAGCAGTAAACGGCCTCCTACCTGTTTGTCTTTTGTGCTGTGTGAGAGCTTGGTGTGTCAAGCGTTCCTCTTTACACCATTAATGGGTTTTATGAACCAGTCAGACCATTTTGCTATGCAGTGCAACAGCTTCTTCGTCATAGAAGTGCTTTATACACGTTACAATGTTTTCGTGAGCAATAAAAGTCAATGTGTAAGAGAGCAGTATTTTAAAATTATGTTATGAATGTGCAATACTAACTTCAGTTTTATTACATTAATTTTACAAAATGGATGCTTGAAACTGAGGTTTACATGCTTTGGACTGCAGAGTACTGTGTTAGCAGCTCTAACATGTCTATGCTAAAGAATACCAGTGGTAAAAGCGTTACGTCTGTGTCTGTCCTATTTAAATAAGTTCCAAATTCATGTTTGCCTTTGTATGTGTGTTACCAAGCTGTAGAGGATTGAAAGTTAGGTTTGGAGTTAGGCACTAGTGCAATGACCTGCATCTTTTTAATGGTAATTTTGAGACTAGGTCTTGCCCATTGTTCACTGAAGATATAAAAAGGGCATGCCTTGTTTTCTTGCTCCTCTTTCTCAGTATCACTTATGGAGTGAGAAATGATCTGAGGAGTGTTCTGACATTGTTCATCAAATGTGTGGAGCACTTTTATTCAAACAAAGGCCTCTTGTTCAGTCTGAAACCAAGACATGAAGTCTGAATGATTTCTTTTTCTCATCTGTTGTTTACATATTTGAAAATTATGTGTTTAGTCCAATCATACAAATCCACAAGTTGATTTCCTTTTTCTTTTGAATAGATAGCTGTGACTTGAGTAACAAAAATTGGGTTTGTTCAGTGGTTCATAGTTCTTTGTAAAGGCTTTGATCTTTGAATGATCTGCTGTGCTTCTCTGTCTTTCATTTATTTAAAATCTTTTGATGTATTTGCTCCTTGTCCTATTGGTTTTTTTCCAGAAATCACAATATCTACTTTGATTTCAGAAACAATATAATTATGACCTTAAATTTAAGTAATTGCTATTTAATAGAATTTCACCCATAACTAAATGTTAGTAGTCCTCTATAATTTGAAAGAGTTTTTTAATTAATTACAACTTTTTAAACTCATGTAGAGTTCAAATTATCTGAACATATCTGAAGTCCTTCTTCTAAGTTGTTCTTTCTTGAGGGCTTCTGTAAAAATACTGTAAAAAGAAAACTTGACTTTAGCAAACATTTGTAAATTTAGACTGAGGCTGATTTTACAGTCTGACCAAGTGAGAAGTTCTTTGCATGTGAACTGGGAATAACAGACTGTCATGAGCACAACTTCTCCCCAGTTAATAAAAAAAGAAGACAGAAGAGCATTTTTGGCTGAACGTATTAAAACAATTCCTTCATCTGACCTGATGACATTTGTGCTTCTCTCTGGCGTGCATAGGGACCTTATGTTTATTAAAGAAATTTAATTAATATTCAAGATTTGCTGCCAAATGATGCAAAAATAAATTAATATGAAAATGTGAATTGTTTGCATATTTTGCTAGGAGGAGTAATTTTAACTTTTGTAAAGTTTCAAGTAACACCATAGAAGTTACTGGAAAAACATGTAAAACCATAAAGCTGAGAGTTCAATTAAAACACGTTTTACACAGTAAAGCATTTTTAAAGTGTCTAGATAGATCTATTTGATGTCGACCTATTTTTTCTGTGAAAGGTTGCATGAGATTTCCCATAATGCTACCATTGCAAGCTGTACTCAATTTCTTCTATTGATAAGCATGTGGCATACTTGAAATTAATTTTCTTCACTGTAAGGTTGTTTGTCTTAAAAAGACAGTATGTACTTTCATGTTCTTATCTACCAACACTGAGTCTTTTGTGAAAAAGGGAGTGAATTTTTCATTTTGTGTTGTGCCAAATAACAATTAAAGGATGGTGCTAATAGCTTGGATTCCTTTCTGTGGAAAGTTGTGTGCCCAGAGTGGAAGATTTTGAAAAACTAAACTGGAGTTAAAGTATGTGCTGTCTTTTTAAGGAAATTGAAAAAAGGGAAACAAAAAAAAAGAGAAGATTCTGTCCTTTCACCTGTTGTCTGCATTTTTTTTGCTGTTACTTCTCTCTTGCCCTACTGCTGCCTCATGCAAAGCAGGAGATTCAGGATGGACACAATGGCTATCATTCTGAAGCAGAACCTGATCAGGTGGCAAGTTTTACTTGTATTTCATTCATTAACTGTGTAGCAAGGTACTATATATTAGTACTCATACAGTGCATACAAATCTTATATTTCTCATGCAAGAGAATCCCTAAAAAGACATTTAGTGTGTAAATGGTTATGTTCTAGAGTGAGTTTTCAGGTAAAGTCATGTAGTCTAAACTGTAATACTGCAGGTAAGCCCCATCTCACAGAACACATCCATCCTCAATTTGTAAGCACTGGCTAATTCTCTACACATTATTTTTTATGGCTGGGTGCTGAATGTAAAATTCTTTTAGTTTCCAAGGAAGTCTAAAGCCAGAGATCATTTGACCTATCTTTAGAAATTATTCTAAACAAGAGCTTGGGGTAGTTTGGAAGCAGACAGATCCTGCCATTTCTGTGTATGTGGGTCAGAGCTGCAAGACAAAGGGAGAGTTACTTGTTTGCTGTAACATAGCCCATTATATTTATTCCTCATTGAGGATGTAGAAAATAGAAACCTTAATATCTCCTAATTTTGACCTGAGAGAGATGACTTTCTCACATGGTCCTTAAAAGTCCCACAAACCCTTTTATTCTTAATTAAAATCCTTCGTACATTTTAAATCTTAACTGCCAACAAAGGACCCGAAGGATTAATCTTGTATAATTCAGGAATGAAGCCATTTACCTAAAAGAAAATTTATGGAACTAACCCTTATTTTAAAATTGCTAATTGCTATATTTTGTTATTAATTCTTAATCTGACCTTCTGGATCCAAAATTGCTATAATGAACCTATTCCATAATCTGTGGCACTCTCAGTAGGGTGTTGATTGAAATAGAGCATCATAGGGTGCACAGACTTTTTGCTATCAAAACCACAAAGTTAAAATGTTAAATAAATAGTTTCTACCATATAATTCTTTCAGATGAAAATACTCAAATATTAAATAAACAACATTAAAAAAAAATTAAAAAAGAGCTTTAAAATGTTCTCAAGTAGATAAAATACCCAAAATAATACCTGCATTTAGCAATAGACTAACAAATTATTAATTACAAATTTAGGCTGATCTTATTGTTCATATTTTTGTATGCTATATGTAGCTAGCATGTGAAACTGATTGTTGCATAAATGCTTTGTTACTAATATGTTACTAACGTGCATGTCTGTGCAATATTTATAATACCAAGTTTCGTGTTTGTTCCTTTTTTTTTTAAACTGTGATACTGTTTAGTACAGTTGTGCCTTGTAGAAAAAGACCCACTTCTTGTGTTCCAGTAATCTGATAGTAAAAGCACTTTGCATCAAAATGTATCGATGTGGCACAGATGGAAAGTGAGATTTACTCATGACTTTGGGTTTCTGCCAGGCACTGCGGGATGGAAACAAACTGGCACAGATGGAAGAGGCTCCACTTTTTCCTGGAGAATCAATCAAAGTTATCGGTAAGAGTACTACTGAGTGCTACACTGAATACTATTAAATTGCTAGTTTATCTATTTAAGAACAGAATATTATTTCCTTTTGACTTCTCTTATTTAGTTTAATGCCACTTTAGATTAGCTGATTAGATGTGGATTTCTTTTCTTTGTCTTTTAAATTCAAATGTAGGAAGGAGAAGTCAGTTCCAGAGGATGACTTGCTCTATATAGATAAATCTTTTTTTCAAGGGATAGTCTGTTCCATAGAGGTGTATGGGTTGTATTTCTGCTTGGGGATGCCAAGGATACTTGGTAGATTCAAACTCTTGATAGCAAGGAAGATGAAGTTATGGAAAACTTTAGTTTCCATTTCCTGATGAGATTTATTTCATTTTGGCCTGTGACAGCAAGCTGTGCATGGGCAGTGTAGTACTTGTCTAGAAAACAAGACTAACAAATAAAAGTGAAAATTAAGACATGGGCATATAACTGAATTATTTGGAGGTTGGTTTTGTATGGATCAGTAACTGCCCCTTTGGATGCCCTCCCTAGGGTTGGTGGGGGTGCTTGACAGCTCAGGGCAGGGACCAGAGAATGCCTGCAGGGTGCTGGTTGCCTGCCTGCCCTCCCTGCAGCCCTGCTGGCTGAGCCCAGCCCCAGGTAGGTGCTGAGCAGCAGTGGGACTGAGGAGTTTGATTGCTGAGATAAAGACAACTCTTTCAGTCCTGACAGCCTCTGAAGGAACTGCAGGCTTCCCTATAGAGGTCAAGCATCAGAATCCTACGGAGCTGCCAAAACCTTGCTATTTACAAATAGAAATAGATTCTTTTGGAACAAATGTCTGTAATTGTAAAACAAAGCTTTAATTGGTCTGTTTTCCAGCTAAGGACGTTATGTACATCTGTCCATTCATGGGAGCAGTCAGTGGGACACTCACAGTGACGGACTTCAGAATGTTTATCAAAAGTGTTGAGAGGGTAAGACTTCACTGTCCATCTGCCTGTTGTTTTAGGTAGGAATGTTGCTGAAGTAGATTTCAGAAAGTGACATGTTCAATGTAAGTGAAGAATGATGTTTCCCAGCAGTCTGTTAAACAGGAATGGTTGTAGTGAAACATACATGAATAATATAAATTTGTGTTCTTCCTAATGTAATAAAATTAATTTATTTCATATACAAATTTCAGGATCCACCTTTTGTTGTCGATGTTCCCCTCGGAGTCATAAGTAGGGTTGAAAAAATTGGAGTACAGAGCCATGGAGAATACTCGTGTGGTATAGAAATAGTTTGCAAGGTAAGGCATGGTAGAGACTTATTAATATTAAAGTATTTTCATTTCATTTTTCTGTAGAAAGAATATACCAGCCCATGTACTGGTTTTCTGTCTGATCAGTTCCCTATATTTGAACCCTGCTTCATTTAGATAATATATTTCAATTCCTCTTAGGATACTTGCAGTCTTAGACACTTCTGCCTTTTGTCTCAAGAGTGAATTCAAAGGAAAAGTGGCTATTTTTATACCTAGCAACTGTAATGACAGTCCTTATCTAACATAAATGCTTACAGAATTCTGTTCCAATGTGGGTTAGGTGATATCAGTGACTTAGTCCTGCATATATACCTTCCTTCAATCAAATTTCTTACAACTGCCTTTTTTATTTATTTATCCATCACAGACTAAAATAGTGTAACTTACTGTTGACAGGATATGAGAAATTTGCGGCTGGCCTGTAAACAGGAAGAGCAGAACAGATTGGAGATCTTTGAGAACATTGTAACACGAGCATTTCCTGTTTCTAACGGGCTGGTGAGTCTTAAGATGGAGAGGAGGCTGTCACTGGCCTCTTGGTGGAAAGTGTAGGGGAGGAAATGCAAGGCCTGTATAGCAAACTTTGAAATGTTGATTCATAAAATCTGCTGCAGAGTGGGCAGGATGCTCTGACCCTGTTTCCTTTATGCATTAATTCATAAAACATTATGCTGTGTTCTGCTCGTGGTGAAGTTAGTTAATTTGTACATAGCCCCTGAGATCTAGATTTGCCTATTGTTGCTGATTAAAAATACATATGTATTAACTCTTTATTTTCTGCAGTAGATAATTCAGTCTAGAACTTCTGTCTGAAACAACAAATAGGTACAATTAGTCTTATTATTAGTTAGGTGCAGAATTCTATTTCATTTGCTTGTGTGGATAAGGAACTGCTTGGGAGGCAGGAAAACAATTTCCTCATCCTGGCATTGCCACTGATGTGTTCTGCCATCAGAGCCAAATAACTTCAACTCTCTCTGTTTCCTATCTTGATTTTGTTAATTTTAGGCTTGTACTTGATCCAGGAAACTGTTTTTCATCTTCTTACCTACCTCACTGTTGTCCAGTCTTGACTGAAATGTTTAAGAGGTTTAGAAGTGTTAGATTTGAAATATTGGAATGTTCACTGGTTTGGAGCTTATTGTGCATACAGCCCATCAGGCAGCAATTTATAACTTTGCTTTGTTGTCTTTAGCCTCTTTTTGCATTCAGCTATAAAGAAAAGTTTGCTGTTAATGGCTGGAAAGTGTATGATCCAATGGCAGAATATAAGAGGCAGGTAAGTTATAGAAGTACTTGGTGTATTTTTTTCCTGCATCTCCCCTAGAGCCATTTAAGCAATAAAAAAAAATTACAGAAATCTCAACATTTTCAGCTCTCGCTACATACAGAAACTGTCTACATCTCATGTATAGATAATAAAATACAAGTGGCCTGACTTTGAGTGTGTTGAGCACCTGCTAAAGTTGATGGAGATAACAGGTGCTGAGTACTTGAGCAGATTGTTCTAACTTAACATGGTTCTTAAATCCTCATTTTCCAAGTGCTGTTTCTACAAATACAGGCTTTATAAAAAATTCAGTTTGAATAAGCAGTATTAAGCAGAAGAGTAACTGTAGTTCTTCAGTGTAAATCTGTATTTTCCCAGTTGCAAAAGTGTTTTTATTTCGCTTTATGATCACTTTTTACCTGAGTGTGCAGCCTAATCAAATGGTTATTTTGCACATCAGTTTTAAAGATATAAGTAGGAAAGGCTTTCAGTGTACTGGTTTATGATTCAGTATGAAGACCTAAATTTATAGCTTATTCAGAAGAAAAATGTGGGCATGCCTATTTTTAAAAAGTACATAGCATATGAAAATTTTCATTGCCCCTAACCTCAGATATGTAAAGGTCTAACCTGAAAAATACAAAACCGTTTTGCTTTCATACAGGGATTGCCCAATGAGAGTTGGAAAATATCCAAAATTAACAGCACCTATGAGCTTTGTGATACATATCCTGCTGTTCTTGTTGTGCCAACCAGTGTAAAGGACGATGACCTCTCAAAAGTGGCAGCATTTAGAGCAAAAGGCAGAGTTCCAGTAAGTGAAACTTCTACAAGGAGATATAAGTGCTTTAATAATTGGTAGCTTATATGAAATTATCAGAGTTCTTTTAGACTTTATAAGTTAACAGTGGGATAGCTTCCTTCCTGGAGGGGGACAGGGGGAAGCAAAGAAAGAAGAATTAGGCTCAATGGGTTTAGAGCTGAAGAGAGCAACTCAACTGTGAGTTTAATTGCACGATTATTGTGCTCTGTAGTAAGGTTTTTGTTTGGAGTTAACACTTCTAGGCCACAGTGGTGTCTGGTGCTAAGGCACATATTAGCGTGGTTCTGATTTGGAGTAGAATGTGTTACAGCCATAGTGCTTTGCTTGAGAATAGACAAGATGTGCAGGTAGCATAAGAACCCCTTAAAAACATCACCATCCAACATATTTAATGCTGTAGATCTGCTTAGCAAGGCAGCAGGTCCACAGACTTCCACATGGAAGTGTTTTTTCTTCCTCTGTTGTTTTTTTTTTTTTTCCTAATTAATAAGATGCAGTAGCAGGCTTAGTTGCTATTGGAAATAAAAGCTAAGATGTTTGGAACCACTTGGTATTTCAAGCTCAACTTTGGAATGAGCAGTCAGTGCTAGTGTGCTGTCAATATGATTTTGCATCAGCCTGTCCTTAAATCTGCATTTGTTGATTTGCCAGGAAATAATGCCATGTGGTGAGTGTGAATTGTCTAATTCCACTCTTGGCCTGCTGCTTTTATAGTAATGTGGTAAACTGAAATAGTTTTCTTTTATTCCAGGTGTTATCCTGGATTCATCCTGAGAGCCAAGCAACAATAACACGATGCAGTCAGCCATCAGTAGGCCCAAATGATAAGCGCTGCAAAGAAGATGAAAAATACTTGCAGACAATAATGGATGCCAATGCTCAGTCTCATAAACTTATCATCTTTGATGCCAGACAGAACAGTGTTGCAGATACAAACAAGGTAGGTTGGGAGCATAACCAGCATTAGTAGTTCTATCTTTATTACAAGACTGGAGATTGAGTAAGAGATGAGGATGTGGAGAACATGATGCTGAAAACTGATAAGAAAGGGTCCCTGAAGAGGGCAGGGGAAGGAAGGTAAGTTACTTGTAGCATTTTGGAAAGGCTGGCAGGCAGCATGAAGATATAGCTGAGAAATTATGCAGTAAAGCTCACAGAAGACCAGAGGTTTCATTAGTAAAGAGGGGAAGTGTCGTGGTTTGGACCTTGTGTTTCCCCTAGAGGCTAAGAAAAGTGGTAGACCCCAAGGGGTGGAAACCCCTGGAAGTTTTGAAGTTCTGTCCAATGGGCACTCCTGCAAAAATGTCAACATCCCACAAGCTCACCGGAAGAGATGAGTTGTAGTTTGGTTGTTGAGGAGAGGTGGCCATGTTGTGAGCCACGAGGAAGGGGCTCTGAGCCCCTTGGGCCCTCTGGGGCCTCCCAACCCCTGGCTGGGGGGGGACTGCAGGGACCTGGAACAGCATAAAGCTGGGCTAGGTGCCTGTAGTTATGCCGGGAGATGTTTTCTCCATGGGCGCAGAGCAGCAGCCGGCACTGACCAGAGAAACGGTGGCAGAGAGCCAGAGCAGATAACACCTGAACTGAAGGAGCAGCAGAAGCAACATGCAGCACCAGAGAAAGGACTCCTGGAAGGAGAACCGGGAAAAAGAGAACCAGCAGCCTGAGAGACAGAGTTCTGGGGGTAAGACTGTACCAACCCCCCAAAACTCCTTTGAGATCCCTCTGAGGAAAGAGGGAGATGGACTCCTATTAAGGAGAAGAGTTTTAGACATGCAGCACCAGAGAGAGAGGAGCTGAGAAGCTCAGAGCGTCCCGGAGCTGGACCGGGACGGCCAGATGGAATGCGGGGGGAGTTGACCTTGACTCCCCCCTTGCACTGCTGCCACGGTGGCAGCCTGAGAGCAGGGCACAGAAAGGGGCCCCCCTCCCTGCCCAAAAGGGAAAAAAAAAAAAAAAAAAGGCCCCCCCCCTGAGTCCTCCTGAGATACGCAGACCGTCACGAAGACCCCCCTGTGTCTTCGTGATATGACGTGGTGATAGCAACCTTGTCTGGGGTTACGAAGCCCACAGAAGACCCCTCGGTTGGAGGCGATGGGGCCGAGAGAGGCTTGAATACCTCCCTCGTGGATGCTGGCAGAAAGCCAGCTATCAGCTGCTGCATGTGGAGAAGACAGACAGACTGCTGCCTCAGAAGATGCTGCTGCTTAAGGACTGGAAGGGATCTGTCCTTCTTTCCCTCCTGGACTTTTATTTGGAGGGGAGAAGAGATCTGATCCACTGTAAATACTATATGTCATGGTAGAGATAGTTGTGATCATGTGTATAATGTGATATGGTATTTATTTGTACAGTCATTGTAATATTTTCCCTTTCCCCCACTTTGAGTCTGGTGTGTTTTGTCTGGAAAAACCCATCTCACATTAGGTTGAGATGTGCGAGGGGGGATGGAGCTAGGGAATTGGATTTTGGGGCTATCTCAAACCATGACAGGAAGGTATATGGATGTCTTATCATTCTAACCTATTGCAATTAGAATTTCTTTGACCTAAAGGAAAAAGTACTCTGGTTTTTCTTAGAAAAACAAAAGCCAAAAGTCTGCTTATATGTTTTTGTTAGGGCTAAAATATCTCAGCAAATGCTAAAACCTGACCAAAGTAACTCTCTCAACCTTATACTGAAGTCCTGTACATGTTCTTTTCTTTGTCTGTTTTTACTTTTTGAATGACAGGCAAAAGGCGGAGGATACGAAAGTGAAAGTGCCTACCCAAATGCAGAGCTGGTCTTCCTGGAAATTCACAATATCCATGTAATGAGAGAATCCCTGCGGAAACTTAAAGAAATCGTTTATCCTACCATTGATGACACTCGGTGGTTATCAAACCTGGACTCCACACATTGGCTGGAATATATAAGGGTAAGATGCTTTTGATGTAAAAAATCAATTGCTTTGTTGAACCATCTTTTTAACTTGCATTTCTGAAAATGTTACTAAATGGTCATTTTGAGTGCAGCATTTTAAGCATTCCATAATGACTTTGTATTTCCAGTTTTATGTATTGGTAGATAACGAGTTAATTCCTGATAGCACAGTGTCATATTTACTGTTGGACAGTGTTTTATTTTCTTGAGAAGGAATGTTTGTGAGCGGTTCAGGGTTATCCCTGTTCTTTGGAAGAATGCCCTGGGAATTTCAGATTATATTTGAGCAACGGCCAAAAGGTCTTGACTGTGGATTCCGCAGTCTTTCCCTCCTTCCCTCCTTCAGTGCAATGTTACTGTTCTTGTGATGGGCACCTACATTTCCTTGGGCTGTTTATAGTCAGTGCTCTATCGAGTTATCATCTACTCTATCATTTAACATAATACTTAAATAAATCACTACCACACTCAGTTTCACTAACCTTTGAAATTATTTTAGAGTAGATTATTTCATTACCACATTCACTCCCCCTGTTTATGATGAATATGGATGGATTGCAATTTATTTTATTAGCAGCTGGCTCAAATGTCACTCATGCAAAACATGTTTGGGATTGTTCATTAGTTTTGCACTGTTAAGTAGTGCCTGCTGACAGCTGCAGGTGAGCCAGTAGAGGGAGCAAACAGAAAATTAAGAGTCAAATTTAATAATATTTTGGGAAGCATTTAATTTTCTTGTTCTCTTGAATTTCAGCTATTTCAAACACCACAAACTGCAGCTTGATTTCTTAAAAGCTACCATTCCTGCATGAACAGTCTTGATAGTATTTCCCTGGGCTTTTATCCAAGAATTCCTTGCCTTCCTTGCCTTTGGCTTGTAATAGCATTAACAAATCCACAGCTTTACTCTTAACACATCTACTGTTCTCTAGGCTCAGACCAGTGTGACTGTGTCCCAGTTTAATGCAGTACATTACTGGAAATTCAATTTCCTACCCTCAGGCACTGACAGCACTTCAAAGATGGTTGAGGAGTGTCTGGGGAGGCACCAGGAACAGTCTCTGTGTGTGAAGGCAGTAGTAACAGGAGTAGAGTTACTTGGTGCTTTTTGCACACCCAGGGTGTTTCCTTATGCCCTCCAGGATATTTTCTGTCTTTCAGGGTAGACCTTAATTATTTTTAAATCAATTCTCATTTTCTAAACCAATCCAAAGCCAGTTATTCATTAGGAGCCCTAAGTGAAATGGTTACTAAGTTTTGAAACATCTATAAAGGACAATAATAGTTTGTAGGGGAAGCTGTTTTCTAAAGGCTTTTGTCCAAAGTTGAATAAAGTGCTTCACCTACTCTACACATATTTGCTTAACTAATAGTAACTCTGTTTTCTGTCTCCTCTGCTTATTGCCTGTGTCTGTTCTGTCCTTTATTTCCAGCTGTACTCCTTCAGAGGTACCTGTGTTCTCTTTAGGACAATTTAGAGCAAGTTATTGCATACCTGTATGTTATATAGATTATTATTAGTTTTTTGCTTGTATTGAAGACCAAATTACTTTCAATATTTGCACTTTTTTAGTTCAGTAGAGCTTAGTAACTGAAGTAATCAGCAATTAACTTGTTCAGGCCATATAGGCACTTCGGTATTGTTTCTCGGTATTTTCATCCTGGCATCCTTCAGTTTTACCATAAAAGATATGCTCAGTGAAAGATACAATCAATGAAAATTGTCTGTAAAGCTTGCTTCTTGAAATAGTTTGAAGGCTGTTTTTGTGCACATCTTCTCCAGCAGATGCTGGTTTCCTACTTCCCAGAAGATGGTTTTGCATGCCTGTGAAGGGAAAAGTGCAAGTATTTAGCAAGATTCCATTTTCTGATGTTGGAATGCAGAATAGGAATTTCTCCTGTGGTCCTATTTTTGGTGGTTGGGTTTTTTTCCCACATATTTTTCGGTGCTGTGAATGGGTCATGTCAGAGACAAATCTTCACAAGAGAGAGTTTATTTAAGTTTAAAAAAAGCCTAGAGGGTGGCATCAGAGAACAAGAGTGGCAGGTTTTTTAGTGGGGAGAAGAATAACAAGTTCACACAGGTGATCTCAGTCCTGTGCCATCTCTGTCCTTTGCTCTCAGGCATGCTCCTAAATCCAGGCTATTGATGGTCTGTTCAGGGGCTGAATATGACATATACTCCATGCACCAACAAAACAGAACAGACTCCCAGCCAGGGGTTTCTGGTTTGTTTGGGTTGTGTTTTGATTCAGATTAGCTGGATGGTTTGTCCCTTTCTCTAAACTCAGTTTCAGTTGAACTGAAAACAGAGGAAGAAAGAGCGATTGATTAATGTGAAAAGGACTTTGAAAACACTGAACTTTCAGCCTTTGGAATAGATTACAGTATTTTTGTCTTTTCATCATAATACAGAATATCAACTATTTTAGAGAAGGGATTCCCAAGCTCCTTTGTTATGTGCTGCTAATAAGGGAGAGCTGCTGGTAAGAACTCTCTCCTGGACAACAGAGTGCACACAGCTTTTGTACCTCTAGGAGTATGCATGACGCCATTTGGAAACCTCTAATTTAAAGCAATGTCATTAGGGTGATTATGTAACTAATATGAAATTTTAAAAACATAATGGCTTGAAAAGTATAAAACTATACCTTTTTTTTCAGAGTTTTGGTTAGCATTTAATATGCTTGTTTCTTGAATTTTGTTTGTTGAAGATGCTTCTTGCCGGAGCAGTGAGAATTGCAGATAAAATCGAATCTGGTAAAACCTCTGTGGTGGTTCACTGCAGCGACGGCTGGGACCGAACTGCACAGCTCACTGCACTGGCCATGCTAATGCTGGACAGCTACTACAGAACCATCAAGGGGTTTGAAGTTCTTGTAGAGAAAGAATGGATAAGTTTTGGACACCGATTTGCAATGGTAAGCTGGAACGTTTAGCGTGAAATTTGTCACCTTCGGTGCTTCTATTTTGAATAGCATGTTTTCTCACTGTGCTCTGCTGCATTTTGGTTATTATCTCTGGTGTCCTTCTTTTACTGGTCTGAATGTGTCAGAGCATTGTGACCTGATCATTTTTAATGGAAAATCTCTGTGTGAGGTATAATAATAAAGTAAATGAAAATGAAGTGGCTTGAACATGATGATTAAAAAAAGTCACATGGCTTTTGTATGAGGAAGAGGGATTGTAACACATTGCTTCATCTCCAGCCAGCTTATGAATGGAGAAACAAGGAAAACAGTTAAGGTGTCTAGAAGGTAAAATTGCTGGAACCATTACTCTGATTTAAGGTTGAAGTGTTTATTTTAACACATGGGCTAGTGGGGAATTAGAATAAATTGTTGTGACATTCTGTGGGCTCTGACTCTAAGATGGTTTAGGAGAAATGACATGTGGTTATGGCAGGTGGATATGGAATAATCACTGTTTCAGTACAGTTTAAGTAAATGTCTACCAGTTTTACCCACTGGTAGAAATCAATGGCTGTGCAGTGGAAGATGGGGTAACAACAGGCACAGCTTTGTTGATCAAGGGTCTCTCCAGCTCTGCTCAACAGCAGATGCATGTCCGTAAGTGAATATTGGGATGTGTTTTTAGTAGTTGGAAAATACAGGTTAGTGTTATGGAAGGTTTGCTTGTCTTGTTCACTACTGGAACATATTTAAGAGTTGCTGAACTTTACAGTGCTGGGAGGGCACTGTAAACAGCCCAGACTGAAATGAAGTGTGCTTTGACTTTCAGCGAGTAGGACACGGAGATGATGATCATGCAGATGCTGACAGATCTCCGATTTTCCTTCAGTTCATTGACTGTGTTTGGCAGATGACAAAGCAGGTAAGATGCTTAAGAGGATATTTCTATGAGGTTTCAGTCTTTATCTTGCCAATGTAATTCATGTAGGAGAACACATTCCTTTGCAGTAGCGTGTTTACCGAAGTTGGTTGTGCTGTGGCTGCACTGTGCACACAGAGGGAAAATTTCTGCTCAAAAGTGAGGTACGAGGAGATAGAGTAGAAGTGTTGTCTTGAGACCAAAATACCAGCAATTCTTTTTGTTTAAAATAGGCTTTTGGAGGATTCCTTGATTACATGAATGAGGGTTATTGATAAATGATACAAATGATTTGCATTGCATGTTTACTGGTGGAGTAAATGTTCATATGGATTTATATTGTCCTTAAGAAAGAGCAAAAATCCAGGCTGATTGTGAACTGCGGGCAGGAGAGAGTTCTTCTGTATATATCTCAAGTGTAGATGTTTTCATTGTTATGCAGACAGGACAGCATTTCTAACACACAAACCTATTCTCTGGTAAGTTTTCTTACTTCCACCTCTGGACCAGGGGAGATGTTTGAAATTAGTGATACTTAAGATACCAAAATACTGAGCTTCTCATTTTTGTTCTGAAAAGTTAAATTATCAAATGGATTTAGCCATCATTTTTCTTACTTTTACCTCCATAAGGAAAAACCTAAGATTTTTCTGAGCTTCTGTATTGCTGTTCTTTAATGGGGTTACTGAAGTAGATTGTCCACATGAAGGCTTTATTTCCAAGTGAATTAGGAGTGCTTGGTGCTTGACTCCTTTTTTTTTCCTTTTTTTTTCCTTTCCCCTTTTCTCTTTTCTTTTTTTTTTTCCTTTTTTTTTCCTCCTAGAGGCTAACATAGGTCTGTGCTGTTATGGTAAAAGCTGTTAGCATAGTATGTGATTTGTTCTGAAGATAGAAGGGTAACAGTCTGGTTCTGTATGATCCTAGCACTTCCAGGTATGTTACGTTAGTCTTCTTGTTCTGAACATGGTTCTTAAAACCTTACACCACAGTTTCCAAAACTTGTATTCAAACCAGTCATCTTTGGTGCTTTATGAAAGTTCCCTGCTGGTACACTGGGCCTTTGTCCAGGGTGTCTTGTAAACTTTCTCTTTCTGTATATCTGTGTTTCAGCATTAATGTGCTGCTTAGTATGGCTAGAGAAAATAAATGTAAAATTCTGTCCCTCTTTCAGAGGAAAGCTAATAACAATAGCAGAGAAAAGCAGTTCTAAACACCTGGTAGGAACAAAAGTCCTCTGGGGAGTTCCTTAATTGAGAGCAGCCTCTTCTATTTTTGTGATCTCCCTTGCTGCCTCTTATTTCTTGCTATAAACAGTTTAGTTCCCTCTAGTTTAAAAAACAGAAAGGGATGGGGGCAGGGGGAGAATCTGTGAAACATTTTGCCAATACCACATCTGTTCAAAACCTGAATCCAGAAACTGTTCTGAAATTCATGGACACCAGTGGCATTGAAAAATCATTAATGTTACACAGGGAAAGATAGATAACATGGTTCTTGAACAGTTCCTGCCTACTTATTTCTATTTTTTAGTTGACTTGAACACCTAGAGAAGAGATGTGAAGACTGTGATTACCTTGACACGGACTTTGAAAAGCAGGATTCTATTTTATCCTTGTGTAGATAGATCACTTGCTCATAAAACAGTGGTAGTTTCATGCTTCAGAGTTCATGGTAAACATATGTGAAATGTTCCAAAGCCCAAATAAGTGTTAATGGCTGCATGAGGGTGTAAAGGCTCGGATTTGGGCACGGGCTCAAAGCAAGCAAATTTGCCCTTTTGGGTTCTAAGAGTTACATTCTTAAAACAGTCGACTTAATGTAGTGAGAGAATCTCTAACTTCCCACTAAGATACAAATTTCCAGACAGCTTCAGACAATGAAATTTAATCCTTGACAGCCTTATATTTTCCCTTGGTTTTATGGTCTTCGTGACACACAAATACAATAACAGAGAACTTGAGAGAAGTACATTGACATCAGATTTTAATAAAAAAACATATGGTGAAGTGATTTCCCTCCTCTGTTAGTAAATTCTGGTGATTTTGAATAGCAGATGTCAAATTGGAAAGGCCACATGTGAGCTGATGAAATACTGATGCCCTGTTAAAAATGAAACAGAACTGTAAAATTTGCATGTAGCACTGCAGCATCAGTAGTAACTTTCTACCTTTCATGCACAGAACCCTCACAGGAGGAAAGGTCTGTTTAAAGTTGGCAGACAGTTTCATCCTGTTTGTAACTGGGTGTCAGCTGTTCCTGGAGGTGCATTAGATGCATTTTTCACTGGATTCAGCAGTGCCCTCTGTGTTCAGTATCCAGTCCATTCTGCAAAGTGCTTCAATGTGAAATGTAAGTGTAGCACAGAACGAGTTCATTGATTAAAAAGCAAGTTTATTTTGCATGTCTCTGAATCAAATGCCACTTGGCATCATAAGACTTAATGAGAGAATTCCTTTTTTTAAGTACCTCCTTTAAAAAAACCCCTAACAACTCCAGCAGCATCAAGTGGCAGATTTTAATGACCCGTGTGTTTTCTCACAATTAGTGGATTTGACAAGAGTAAATTTTCATTTGGGGAATTTTTCCACCTGAATCTTCAAACAGACACTAATGGGCTTGGAACTACAGAGGAAGGCATTTTTAGGTCAGTGATTTTTCAGCAGCAGTAATAGAAGCTTTACAGTCTTGATACATCAGCTCCAACAGTACAACTCTTGTATCCAAAGACAGGCCTTCAATAAAGTGCTATCACTTATTAAAAAATTAGTTGGAGTGCAACCACTGATGTATGGAATTTTGCATATGCTTCACTGGATTGGAATAGTGGCCATGTCGGCATCCATCTGATTAGTATGGACCTGTCACAGCACAGAACCCTGATGTGACAAGGCTCATTAAATGCTTTCAGTTAAAGAGGGTCCCTTTAGGAGAGGCTTTGTCTTCAAAGTTTTTTCCAAATATCATTTTGATGCTTTGCAAATTATTTTTGCTCTCTGTATCTGATTGCTGCTTTGGGCTGGACACAGCAGATTGGGGTCTCAGACCCCACTCGATTTTCTCCTGACTTGGTTTGGCACACCTGCTTGTCAAGTTCCGTTCATGCTTATTTAAAATCATAGCTGTTTTGGTAACATCCTTGTTTTCTAATTAAGTTCCAGCACGATTTCCTAGAGAGAGGGAAGTGCTGTAAGTAATAACTTTGGAACATGACTGGAAAAGAGAATTTGATAATCTTAAGTTCCTCTATGTTTTCTGAAAACAAGTGGTTGGGAGGTGAAAACAACCCGTGATTTCTGAGAGAACCCCCAGTGTGAGCTGTGCTGGTGAACAGTGTGCAATCTGTAACAGAGTCAGGAGGAAGGTTCCCATTCACTTTCTGAGTAATGATGTTGATAATTCCCTTACTCAAAATTTTCAGTCAAAAGTTGGTATATATTAGCTTGGAAAGAGAATGTTTTTACAGTGTTTGACTTACATAAATCTTCTTTTAATAGAACATTGTTTAAAACTTAGATCTTTCTGGGTTTAATACAAGCACACCCATTGTGTGTTATTCAGCTCTTTACTTTCAACATGAATAAACATTTGCCTTTCATAAATCACAGATGACACTGAAGAGGAATTTCTGGATCAGCTAGTTCACCCACAGTCCCAGCTGCTGTGTTATTACTCCTAGTTATACTTATTGTCTTCTTTTATTTAAAGTAGCTCTTGAGTCACTTGCCAAGGTGTTCAGTATTCTTCAGTGTCAAATAACAGAAACCAGTCCTCTGCATTTCTCTATATAGCAAGAAATTCTGCCTCATGAATCTGTAGCCTGCCTCTTAGACTTCTATAAAGATTTAGTCCTTTAGTGGGAATGAAAAAATTTTGTTTCATTTGTCCTGAAAATTAGTCTCTCATAACATTCTCTTTCATGTTAATGAGGGAAATGCTACTTCTTAAGTTTTCCTTTAGTCTTCTCAATTTTTTATTCTTCTAAATGTCTATCATTCCATATCTGTGTTTGCAACCCTTGTCATACTGAACACAAAGTTATTTTGACACATCAAGCCACGTGTAGTCCTATTATAAAATTTGATTGCAGGAGGACTTCTTCTATCTGAATGGTTAACAGCCCATGCAGTTTGCAGTGATTTCTTCCTTTATGATTCTTAAGAGCGCTACAGATTAAAAGGAACATTTTGAGTGTTTTCAGATTTCTAGCTCTTTTTCCTAGAATGTATCAGGTAACCTCTGCTTGTGAATAAAATACCTAATGGTGCTCAGGGGAATAACGGGTCTTTCATTTCAGATGTACAGGATTTACTTTCCAGTACAAAAGAAGAGGGATTAAAGGCTTATTGTATATGGCTGGTAGTAAACTCAAGGGGTGAAATGGAGAAAAGTAACTTACTTGGGTAGAAAGTTAAAGACAAATTTTAAATATATGTTAAACACAATGTATCTGCAGCAGTCTTTATTATCTAATTCATGCCATGTTAGAAAAGGAAATAACTCTTAAATACCATCATCTTGTTGTTTCTTTTTTTCTTCCCAAAAAATGTTCTTTTGTCTTGTAACGAGATAAAAAGTATGTATTTAAGAGTATCTCTCTGGAGTGAGAACAGAATACTGTTAGAGCATCCTAAAATGGATTGCTTTGTATCACCAGTTTCACATTAGCTAATGCTTGTACTCTAGTATACTTGGGTAACGAATGTAAAGTTTGTCTCTGAGAAGTATTTATAAAGAAGTACATAGGTGGAATGTATTGCAGTGAGAGTTACTGAAATTCCTTAGTTTTCCTTGAAATAATCTTTAAATAATAAGAAAAAAAACTTACTTGAATCTCTTGGTTATTTCTTATGTCTGAGTTTCTTCCTTTCTACACTGCTTAAAATAAAGTTTAAAGTAATTTTGCCAATTTTTTTATTTCAGTTTCCTGCAGCCTTTGAATTCAACGAGTTATTTTTGATCACCATTCTGGATCACCTTTACAGTTGTCTCTTTGGTACTTTCTTATGCAACTGTGAAAAAGAGAGATTAAAAGAGGTAAATAATTAGTGTTATGCGCATTCTTAGTTTGCTGATTTTATAAAAGAATGCTTAGAATACAAGAGCTAAGAACATTTGAGCTGTGCGTTTGGGATACATTTGTCACATAGTCTTAAAAGACAATTTGCACATGAAATTTTCATGGTATGAGAAATATGTACTGAATGCCCTGCTATTAAATGAGGTGGCACTTATGTTTCTTTAGTTATTATCTGTTCAGGGGGTTGAGGGTTTTAGTAAGTTTAGTAAGTTTTTAGCCAACATACACAATTATAAATAATAGTAATTATCAAATTATATTAGCATTTATTTCACTGTTTCCAGAGGAACTCAATGCTGACTTTACAGGTCACTTTAGGACATAGAAGTTATGGTTGAAGACTACAGAAATTACCTAAGTGAAATGAAATGAACTCATTGAAATACTATAGGTTTGTGGGGAAAAAATTTAAAATCTTGTTAATATTCCAAGTACACTTTTGCTTACTTCTGGCTTTGTTGTTTTAATATTTTAATACTTCATGTTTTCTAAAGCAAGTTGCAATTCTGTACTACATTCAGCTTTGCTGTTTTCTTGTGGTTTGTCTCTGCTGCTTCTGTAGGGGAAAAGTTGCATGTAAATTCCACAAGATGGAGCTGAATAACACGTTCTCAGCAAATGCAGTGTTTCCAGGCAGCTTTCTTTCATAAATGAATAGTCAGATGTAATTCTCAATAAAGAAATGCAATTTAAGGCACAGCGGTAGTAGAAACACATGCTTTACAGTGCTGAAGGAGTGTAAAATTGCAAGATGAATCTGATACAAGTTCAGGTTTACAATCTTTGATCTAACCATTATTATGCTGGTTAAATTTAGGGTAATACAACTTTCAGAAGTGCAAATAAAGGTAAAATAGGCAATTTAAAGCATAGTATCAATTGGTAGGAGCAAGTAGTATGACTGGGAAAATTGAGTAATTATTTTTCACAGGTGCTGTTTTGGATCTTCTAAACAACTGATCACTGATTTTTCTTGTCAAAACCAGTTTATGTTTTTTTGTTTGTTTAGTTGGTGAGTGTGTAGCCATATCTTTAAGTAGCTGTAAACATTGCTGTAAATTATAAGCAGTACAAGTTGCTTTTGCTCATCTGGACTTAGTGTCTCTGAAAATAATATAAATCTCCTTTCTCTGTCAGCCTTGGACCCGCATAAGTGTTCAAATGTTTTGCTAAAGTTTTAAGGCTGTTTAATGATCAGCTTCAGGAAGTGTTCTCAGTCACCTTGCAATTTTCTAGTAGATAAGGTAAATTTCACAGGCAGAATTACTGATACATAGACATTAACATCATACTTCAAGGTTTTGTAATCCACGTAATTAATTTTTTTACTGTTTTTTTTTTCCATCAGGAGGTGAGCACTAAGACTGTGTCACTGTGGTCCTACATAAACAGCCAGTTAGAGGAGTTCACAAACCCTTTCTATGTGAACTATGAAAACCACGTCCTGTATCCTGTTGCCAGCCTGAACCATTTGGAACTGTGGGTGAACTACTACGTCAGGTGGAACCCGAGGATGCGGCCTCAGGTATGAGCTTTCACGTGTCTTTTGTGTTTTAGTGAAGATCACAGAGATTAAGAGAAATTACTGTTTTTTGTAGTGTTGAATGCAGCATTTAATTTCAAAAGTGCTCCTCTGTTGCACGTATTTCAGCTGATAGGGAAAAAGGTGATTGTGTCAAAGAAGATGCAGGATGTGTTCAGACTTGGAAAAAGGATGTTTTCTTTCAAGTCACCAGTAGAATAGGGAGTTACAGTATTACTGTATTGGCTTGTGAAAGGTAACAGATTAACAGTCTTTGATGTCAGAAGATTATTTTTATACCACTTCTGTGATACTTTGTAACCCTTTTTAATACTTTTATTGCCCTTAACCTTCTTGTAGAGTTTTGTGTACCTTTGTTTTTAATCATGTTTTGCCCTTTACCAACAATGACATAAAATATAGCAGCAGTTTCTGAAAGAATTGGAGTATATAATGGCTCATTTTGCAGGCTTTCTAAACTTAGCACCACATAGATGCTTGTTTTCAATTGACCTTTACGATTTCAAGCTGGCATACTAAAGATTAAACACTCACTATACATGCTCCTCGATTCATCCAGTTTTTGTTCTTGTAAGTAACGTCTGCTATTCAGATAAATCTCTCAATCTCGTCAGACAAATACTCCATATGCTCTCATGCTTAGAAGTCTGAAAGAAGAACATTCAGATTTTGTCACAGCCATAATATATCTGAGAGTGCTACACCATCTCTTTATTAAGGTAACATTCCGAGGTACCCCCCAGCATATTATGATAAATTACCTGTATTAAATGACTGCCTGAAAGCTGCTTTCATCTTGGAGTGTTAGAATGAGATGTGAGTTTCAGATTTATTAGACATCCACCAGTCAGAGGCTGTTGTAAAAGATGGTGTTCCAAGGTAGATTTCAAGGACAGTACACTGGTAGAAGTCCAAGTATCTGAGAAGTACCTTGTAAGGTCCTGGAAAAGTCTGGATTAGTTCCCTTCTCACTGAGGTGTTTCCTCTGAGCTGCTTTGTTTCTCTTAACTTGTTAAAACTTTGAAAGGTCGCGTATTTTAAGTTTTACCATTTTTAAAGTAAAATTGTCAACTGCTTTTTAGCAAAATAACATCTTTCCTTTAGCCTGTTTGCCGAACACCATTTTGGGTGGTTTATGTGCATTTTAGTGTAACTGACTGCAGCAGTGTCAGTTTATTACTTGTATTTGATTGAGCTCTGTAGGCCCTGAGAGCAAGCAGTCTTTGTAAACACACATGAAAGCTAGTCCTGGTCTGGAAGAGGGGAGGGTGGGGAAGAGATGACATAAGAAAATATCAGAGCTGTCATCTGCTTAGTGACAAGCCCTGCTCACTGTCCTGTCGGAGAGCACTCTGCAGGCACTTTGGCACGTGGGACCAACTGGTCTTCACTGGTCTGTGAGAGCAGGTCCCTCAGATCAGCAGCTGAAGGTAATAAAATGTGATGGTCCTGGTAACTGCCTTAGCTTCACTACCATGTGTTTTTCTTGAAGTACTTATACAACTGTTTCAACTTTTTAGTTCTACCACATAAGCTTTGTCTTGTGGAGATATATCATCCCTTTCCTCTTGTCCCTGGCCTGAATTTATATGTTATTTATGACAAATATTTGGAAGTGTTTCCCATCTACTTGGATAAATTCGCTGCAGAAATAACAATCTTTTTGATGCAGAATTGCAGTCTAATTATCAAAGCACAAACTCATACAAGCAAGTAAATAAGCTGTCTTTAATCACAATATACTGTGTGCTTTCCTTTGTGTTTCCATTGTCTGATGTCACACCCTGTTAACTGATTCAGTAACATTCAGACTCACCCATTCCATGACAGAAAAAAAGACAATGACCCTTGTGACGCCCAGCAGGTCTTCACTTATCTTCAGTGAAAGAATTTCTTAATCAGTGAATTTATTAAAAGAATGGGCATCCCTGCATACTGATAAAAGGTGATTTTGTTGAATACCTTTTAATGTGTTCTCTTGGTTTTCAACTAAATATAAGGGAAAATAAATTTAATGTTAATGAAGAGCTCTCTGATGAATAAATAGCTCAAGGCAACCTCACGTGCTGTTTCATCAGCTGAAAAAACATCTTCAGGAAATTAGGAAATGTTTATTGTTTTCTAGGAGCTCACCAAAAAGGAGAAATACCCAATAGGTGAATTTAAAGGAAGATGAATAATAATCCTTTAATATAATCAGAAATGGATCTTTCATACCTGTTTTCGACCAACTTTGTGTTAGGGGAGAGAAAACTCATAAGAGCAGAGGGGCAGGTTTTCGTTTGAGGCAATATTTTAGGTTTTCTAATTTCAGCTTGATTAGTGAGCTCAAATCTTTAAATGGACTGAGAGAAGTTAATCATTGCACTTCATTGCCTTTTCTATTGGAAATGAGCATATATGACCTTTCATTTTTTTAATTTTAGAATTACTGAATGCCAACTTGATATAACCATTAATTTTTGCATTATTGTACTCTGTCTTCAAATATCTGTGTCTCATCAGACCTTTACCAGCGTGGTAAGGTCTGAGCATACTCTTAATTGCACTAGGACATACAGAGTTTAGGATTATTCTTATGTTCTGTAAAGAAAAGATTACTTAGAATGATATATCTTTAGTTCAATCTGAGTTTTGTGGAAGCCTGAGATGGTGGTTTTGGCAGTGTTTAATTGCATCAAGAACCCTGTTTATTTTGCACTGCAGTAGATCCTGTGCACTTAGGTGACACACAGCCTCTTTCCATAGGGTTCAAAGCTCAAGAGTCTGAGAAGTGAACACTGTGGAAGATTCTAGGTTAAATGTGGATATTTCTTGTAGACTCCCCTTTTGCTAAATTGTGCTTCAGCAAGGTCATTTTAATTCTTAAGTGAAATAAAATGCTCTGTGTTTTGAGTTTGGAGGTGTTACATCATTATTGACTTCTTGTCCCGAGAAAATTAGATAGATTTAAATTCTATCTTACTTGAGTTCATTGACTGAGAAAACTTTTTTCAGATTTGTCCTTCCCTTCAGTTGGAGAAATGCATGTTTGTGTATGACATCTGGAAGATAAGTTCTTCCATTCTCTCATACAGAGGTGTGGGCTCTCTGGGTACCTACTCCTGGGCTTTCAGATGACCCTACTAGTCTGGAATACATAACATAATATGATGCTTTTGAATTTTTTCAGTTGATATATATTTCCCTTTCCTTTTCCATGTAGTCATTCTGACCTCTTCTTGACACTGGTTTCAGGAGCTCTGGCTGCCAGATGTCATTAGGTATCTGCTTGGGCAACTCTGGAAGGTGAGGAGAGCACAGCAATTATATTCCTGAGTATGACTTCTGAAGCAGCAGTGTTTTTGAAGTAGTATACCCTTATCATTCATATATGCAGAGCATGAGTAAAAGTTCTGGTCCTTTTAATTCAAGCTGTGTCTTGCTATGTGAGAGGCAAGGAAGAGAATTGTATTTTAGTCACCAAATTTTGCATAGTCCATTAGGATGTGTTTAGTTGTTTTTATGCCTTCTGGGAAGTGGCATTTTAACCCTTGTAGGTCAGGGCTTAGTTTCATTTTGGTTTTATGTAGGGTTTTTTATTCTTCTATGCCTGATCATTTTCCTTCAAGCTCTGTTCTGTAAATTTGGCCACAGTGTTAGTGATAGTATCACAGGAATCCCTATCATTTTTTCAAATTCATTCTTTTCTTTGTGTGTGGACTGTCATCCAAAGTAAAAGGCTAACACCATCTATAACCTAGAAATTCAGTTCAACTACTGAATCATCTGCTGAAGGCAGTCCTGGAGCTTCTGTTAAAATCCAGGGAAAGTCTGTTGGTAGATTAGCAAAACTCACTCACAGAAATGAAAGGAAAAGGTAGGAATAAGTAAAACTGCTTGTTCAGTATATACAGAAATTACTATAAAGCATATAAATAGCTTACAATTGCTGCTTTTATTTTATGCTATGTATAGAATTGCAGAAGGGTTGGATGTGTGGAACAGTTGTGATCAGATGTCAGCTGAACTTCACTGTCAATAAACACAAAATATTGTATACTGAAAAGAACAAATAACGTGCTTAATGTCACTGGGAAAATTGCTGAGAATAAACTTGAAAACATAATTACTGACATGCTTTATCCTGCATATAATAGGATAACATATAACTTACTGCATGGAACTTACTGTCTGGCATGTGGGATGTTGATATTATTTATCACATTGCTTAGTGTGTTGCTTTCTGAGTATGTTGACATTGGTTGTAATATTTTTAAAAGTTCATACATTTGATTTTAACACCATTTTGTGGCAGGACAAAGCCATTGTGTGGCTCTGGAACTGCTTGGCATTGCTGACCTTGAGTCCATCTTTTTGCATTGAAGAATGGGGTGGGAGATGTCAGAAGGAGCCACCTTGTAGAGTGTTGCCTAGCAAAGGAGATTTCATTCCTGCAGTTAGCAAAGAGTTTCTTGTGAGATGAGGCAAAAGTTTCATGCAGTGCCCGGTAGTTTCTCTCTAACGGGGTATCAAGATTTCTGCAGATAAAACTCCCAGCATTCAATTTATATGGAATAAAATAGAGACTAACTGCCTATCCTGGGTGCTGAAAGACTCTGTAGTTATTTAAGGAAAAAAAAATCGGTATCCTGTAATGAGCACAGCATCAGAACATGCACAGAATGAGAGAAACTAGTACTGTGCAAATTATCTTCATTTTTGTGAGTTTCTAACATATTTTGAAGGGCAAGCACTCAAATAATTGCTCTCATCTATCAGATGTCTAAATCTAAATGGGCTGTAGGTTTTAACAAGCAATGGCATCAGCTTGTAGCGTGTACAGTTTCCCAACTCTGGTTGAATCTAGCAGTTGTTTGCAAAAATCTCTGTTCCAATTCCCACCTGGTAGGATTCCTAATAATTTCTGTTTGCTTCTCCTTGCTTTTCCAGAAGGCTAGGGGGTTTTGCTTGGTTTCTCAGGAGCACACCTCTACAATAAG